ATAATTAACATATGACAAACAACAGCGATTCACAGAACTCCACGAAATATTAATAGTAGAGTTTTTACGTTGTTTTACGAGGGTCTCGCTGCTAACACCGCAACTCGTATCTCCGAAGCTTATTGTGTACTTAACAGATTATAATAATAGTATACTCCAGAAAGAGAGATCATTATATTTTCAAGCTCTAAGAATGAGAGTAGGGATGTGATTGTGGTGTATATAAGGTTAACTTCTGGTATGAAATGTTCGGAGAAGTATCGGAATAAGACCGACTCTTTTCCCGAATTTTCATTTAGGCATCATCCTCACTCAATACTCCTGTTAAGCCTACGAGTAACCGCCATTTCATAGATCTAAAATAATCCGGTCTACTCTATGTTATGACTTGCAAATAAATAAACTATGGGATCCTGATTTTTTGAAAATCTCTCAAAACCATTTGAAATTATTTTGATATGTGAAGCAATTTATCAAATTTGCCCCTGTAATTTTGAATATTTTGTTCCAGTGTATGTGTATCTTAACTAAAATCGCAGAATCTGCTGACCCTGTCTTCATTTCGAATGTCAAAACCGGGCATTGGTTAATAATTTGTTGCCATCCCTGAGAAATTTGTGTGATATAGTGTACGAGACCTCGACAATCGCATCGCGCTGCAATTTGAGTTTCGAAAATCGTGAAATCATTTAGAAATACTTAGTGCCATACCTTTCGGCATTTTAAGGTGGTATAACCAGCCTCCGAGTTCGACTTCATTGCCCCCACGAAGCGCTTGGTAATTGCAAAATTACAGGCGGCTGATGGGTCGATGCGGAGATATGTAGTATCTGCCCGCGTAGTTCGTCTGTTCATTGCAACTTCCTTCACGATCGCGATCGTCTCCGTTGTCTCGACGGCTGCCTTATTTTCCGCAAACGACTCCATCGCGGCCTTTGAGTCTCGCCGCCCTCATCACTGCCCGCTTTATTCTCATCGCGTCGGCGACTGCGTCTTTCGTCGGGGACGGTAATCCCCTCGTTTACAGCAACGGACTTGCCTGCTAATCTCTGAGTCGGTGCTGTTCTAACAGTATCTTAGGTGGACGTTGTCAATGTAAGACTAAATCTGTTGATACGATTTTATCTCTCTACTCTGAACAAAAAATTGTTATCGGAAGCGTACTATAGGCGTCAGTAAGTACGGAAACTAGTGAAAAAGTATTTTTGTAATCTTCTTCAAACAATTTGAGAAAATGTAGATAAATAAATTATTATTGTTAATTAATAAAATTTCGGAACAGATTTCGCAGCACTGTTTTTCAAATTTATTGCATTTAACTTTTAATTAGGTCATTTTTACGTTAATGAAAAGGAAATGGATAAAAACAATGGAATTCAATCAAACATATCAATCAAGCAAAACATGAATTTGCGCAACCTTAGAAATTGTGTACAATGTATGTTCATTGTGAGTTCCGTAGCATCTGTAATATTTAAGTCTGGAAAAGTTGCAATAGGACGCAATACTACCTTTTATAAGTACATAGGATAGTTTCTGTCAACATTGAGAAAATGTCTCAAAACGCCCCGATAATTTCAATTTGGGCACCATCAGTGATCTAAGGTTGTGCATGGCCGCGTCATGTCGTCCTTGAGCGGCCCTTCCCGTCGATGCGCCCGCGGCGCGGCCGGCGGTCGCTCTCATTAGCGGCGCAGCGGCGAGGGCAGGAAGTGATAAAAACGGCGCGCCCCGCAGAGGACGGCCGCTGAGGGCGGGCGAGGGCGGGTGATTGCGGAATAATTGAGGCTCTCGCCGCGCCTCCGCCGGGGCCGCAAAACCTGCGCAGCCCGTCGCCCGCCGGTCCTCGTCCTCTCGCTTCGAGGCGGGCTCTCTCTTCTTCACGTCCTTCCTTTCTTTTTCCTCCTCCTTGCTTCTTCTTCTTCTGTTCTTCTTCTTCTTCTTCTTCTTCTTTTTCTTCTTCTGTTCTTCATATTCCTGTTTGTTCCTCATCTCTCTGACCGCCATCCCTCCTCGTTGTCTAAGACTCGACTGCCACCATCAGCTAACGGTTTCTCACCAACTCTTACTGCTCATTAGCTTAATACATTCATTTCTCAAACATTCTATTTAAACTTCAAAAGCATCTTCATTCCATTTCAACCTCATTTTAAAAAAACTCAAATAAAATGTTGTTTTTTTAATTTTATAATTCCACGTAGTACTTTGAAAAATTAAAATAAATGAAACAATTAAATCCAACCAATCCAACTACTTTGAAAAAATAAAAAAATCTCGTTAGTGCTTTTAATCATACTTTATTCGCGCCTTCTTTATTTTCTTGTCTTGCCATCTTTTTACACTTATCCATAACATTAATGTTCATCTGTCAGAGCACGATCTTATATTCTTCTCTTTATTTTCTCGCCTGTACGATCGTTCCCGTACTGTTTTATCCCGAATTTTTCTTTTCATTTTTCTCTTTCTTTCCGTCTGTCTTTATCTTCTGATTTCTCGTCTCTCACCCTGCATATTTTAACTCGCCTGTTTCTTGGTAACCATAAGTGCAGTTACTCAAGTCCAATTGCCTTACCGCTGCACTGGTGTTCCACCTGCCGCTGAAGACCTTTCCGCCGTCACTTCCTCGCACCTAGTCACTCCAATTCCCTCCCACACCATTCCCATCGTCTCGACCGCCCCTAGAGTTTCGCATTACCGCTACCATTGCCACTCGCCATTCTATCGATGCTCTCTAGCACATCCTTTTCGTAGGCCCAGCGCTGTCCAAACGCTCTCTGACGCTGTCCCGACGTTCTTTGACGAAGGCCCGTCGTAGATCCGACGCTCTCGGATACCGACCTAATGCTCTCCGACGCAGACATGCTCTCCGAACCCGCCGCCGCCCACTTTTCCATGCCAACACCGACGCAACGTCCACGCCGACCCGAAGCTCTCTGAAACCAACCCGATGCTTCTCAAGGCGACGCCGACCAGACGCTGAACCTTCGTTCCCCGATGCCGACGCAGACCTGAGACTACGAACCCGACGGCGCGCGACCAGATGCTTGCCCACACAGATACCGACGCTGATCCAACGCCCTCCGCCGCCGACTCAACGCTCTCCGACGCCAACTCAACTCTCTCTGGCGTCAAATCAACGCTCTCCGACGCCGACTCAACGCTCTCCGGCGCCAACTCAACGCTCTCCGACGCCAACTCAACGCTCTCCGCCGCCGACTCAACGCTCTCCGGCGCCAACTCAACGCTCTCCGACGCCGACTCAACTCTCTCCAGCGCCAACTCAACGCTCTCCGGCGCCAACTCAACTATCTTCGGGGCCAACTCAACGCTCTCCGGCGCCAACTCAATTATCTTCGGGGCCAACTCAACGCTCTCCGGCGCCAAGTCGGACTGCCTGTGCTGTTTTCCTCCGCCGGCGCGGCGTCCCGCTCCGCGAGAGGGCGCTTTGCCTTCTCTGCCGGCGGTGCGTTTTTGCGCTGTTTATGGGGTGGTTCTGCGTTTGATGGGCCGCGTGCTTCCTGCTTTTTCGCGCACTGTTGTCAAGTGCAGGCGCTTCATTTAGAGAGCGCTCTGAGTGAATGGGTTTCCTGCAATATAATAAAAATAACCGAATCCGCGCGAGTTGCCTAGTTAAACAAGGTCATCGCTAAGTGGGTCGTGTATGAGAGTTGCCTGATGACGGGGAGTTATTGTAGAGAAAAATAAATAACTTTTCTAATAGAAGATAAATTACAACAACACAATTACGACAATACAAGTTGTCGTTGGGGTAAACTTGTTACACTCGAGTGGATACTTGTAGATATAAAACAGTTTCCTTGAAAATGCGAAAACAAACCGAATCGTGTTTGAGATGATTTATTTCTATGGGTCTGAAACCAGCAAGAATAAATCTACTTGTGTCGAAAAATTGCAAACAAGATAAATGTTTTCTCATTCCTATGTAAATTACCCTTTAACTCACTGAATATATGTATGCAAACACTTGCATTTGCTGATTTATACGAAAATTTGTAAAACAAAATATGACCAATGGCACAAATGGTACATAAGCAATATTTTACCTGATGAAGCTTCGGCTACCTCATCATTTTTTACTTTTATATTCCTTGTTGTTTCCGCTTCTTCCGTGTTTTCTGTTGTTCCTGGGTGATTCGCTTTGTTATGAGAATTGACAAGCGAACCGTAAAAAGCCTCTTTCATCATTTACAGCTGCGAGGCTCACCCCCGAGGCGCGGAAAGAGTTTATGTTCTAGTCCTCTAAGCTTCGTTACCGCGGATATTTACTGGCCGTCGCTATGAGCTCCTTTAATGCATACGCTGACGCAACGATAGGATGCGCAGTTGGTTGGGCCTCTCAGTAAACACGTACGCGCACTAGTGCGCAGTATCGGATAGCGTAATGCCTACTACATTCGTGCCAGTTGCTCTCTCAATAGGCGCCTGTTTGTCGATCAACTGGTAACTTACGCAACGCCGCAGTTTAAATGACAAAAGCGCTTCCGGGGAAAGTTATGGCCGCTTCCCAGATTTTTGTAGTGAAAGGTGTGTGCTTGTACTCTGCTAATGTGACGCCCCTTTCCATTTTCTGCAATGACTTTGTAAAGAGACAGATTTCGCGAATATATTGGTGTTTGTGCCAAAAGCCGGTTCTAGAAATTTATGCTAATTGATGCTTCTTATTAATCCATTTCAGTGTTTATCACGTTCCCATTTCCGTCTAGCATATTATTATTATTATTATTATTATTATTATTATTATTATTATTATTATTATAACTACTATTATTTTCTATCGCGAATTGAGAGATTTATCAATACATTTCACATCCCAATCGCAAGATGAATAAGATATTTCCTTTATCTTATTCACGTCCACAGTTAACTTGCACTTCCGGATTTTCTCGGTAAACAATCGGTCGTTTTATCCAAATATGAAAGAAAAAGAAACCTTGCAAATGAAATAAAAATGGGATGTGTAGCGGTTCCTAGCAACTCACCTTGCAGCCTTCACAGGTGAAGGCGCCGAAGTGGAAGCCCGCGGCGGGCTCGCCGCACACCTTGCACTGCTGGTTCATCTGCAATAAATAATAAATATCAAATGTTAGAGTATAGAATCACACGGGCAAAGCTTCAGATGTGAATTAATCTCTAAGGAAGTACATATCTAAAACATTTCCCGCACAATTCTAGATTGATATTTTGTTTCCATAAACGGATGAAAAGAGCGTGAGTGGTACAATTAATTTACAAAAACTGAAAATTAAATTTGTCGTGATAACTATTTAGTGGTGCACTTAACGACGAAATATTTACACACAATGAAGCATTGTTATGTGTTGTTATTGTATTCCTCTCGTTAGAGAGATTCACCTACGATAAATGTCGCACACCAGGCTTCATGCCCAGAGTGCCTTGAGAAAAAACAAATACTGGAGAGCGTAGATGAGTTTGTGTAAAATATTAACTCCTTTCTTAAGATGCAACACTAGGGATACAAACTGCTTTTATCATATATACGAGTGAATCCAAGAAGTATTTTTTCGATAGGATCAAGCATTTGCGATTAGTAATGTATGCTATCTTTGACAATTTATGCTGCTAGAGATTTACAGTCGTGATCACCGCATTCGGTCGGAAGGATACTCTTATAAAATATTACAAACAGTGGAGTGGAGCTAGAAAATAATGTGGATCAAGTCGTAAAATATTTTTACTGGCGCAACTAGTGTCAACCTTGCAAGCTTAATGTAAACTAAGAAATTAGTTTACAACATTCAACAGCAAAGTTGACATAACAGCGCTATAATAGCATGTCTCTTTTCCTCAGTGTTAAGAATGCCAAAATAGCTCTTCAAACGTCCACGCCGTGTTCGCGAATTATAAACACGGGCACTGTGCTATCTTCAGTAACGCACAAGGCTTCACATCCTCATCCCCACACAGCAGTACCAAGAAACAAATGTGCAGCGCTATACTCTTGGCAGCTGTAAGTCAGTATCTTCTCAGTCTCTTCTTCGCTGTTACTTTTTTTTCTCTTCTCGAGTATTGACACACCTATGCCAGGTTGCGGCTTTGTCAACGCGCAGAATGACAGTTACAATCGCGTGCGTTGCTCACTTGCGGACTAAACGTGTGGCAACGTCAACTGCGACATGGACACGAAAAATGCGACAAAGACCATCTCGTCGGGAAGACAAAGGCGAACATTGTTCACCGCGGCCATGCTCTGCCGCGTAAGACGGGGGCGCGTGTATGCAAAGTAGCCTAAAGCCACGGCAAACAACATCGAAACAAGAATAAAAAAGATTCATTGTGTGGAGTTTTTCGGAATCATCTACAGAACAAACATCTGCTGCTATGAAGGACGGGAGAGTGTGACGCTAGTACAATGCTGGGTATTCCCCCATCTTTCTTCTAGAATCGTCACGTTTTATAAACGAAATATGTAATTAAATTTCATTAATGAAGTTCACATTTTCAAAAATTTGTTACTATTACAACAGAATTTTACGTGGAATGTTGAAACTACGAAAAATAGTTTTTTGGTAATTCCTTAGTTTTTTAGTTTAAAGAGAATGCACATGACGTCGTAAAATGGAAGATGTTCACCTGTATTAGTATATTACTGACACTTGTAACTAGAACATTTCACTGCAGTTTATGCTTGATGTAGAGAAACGTTTCTCTTTCTTCTAGCCTCTTAGTTCTTTGTGTAATGCACAAAAATGATATTTGTGTGAGCATTTTGCTAATTAGTTATCCAGATACGAACAAAACTTTAATAACATCTCAGGCCAAAGATACATGCAGACTCATTCCTGAAGTCCATTAAAAGTTCGTGACCAACGCGGAGCGAATAAAGAGTTTTCTTGAGGTGCAGTTCGAAAGCAAACATTAGCACAATTTCTAATGCTCCCATCGCCGACCGGATACACGGGTTGCATCCGTCACCCGGTGAATGCCTCGTGTTCCGATTGCACCGGCCACGGCGCTGCTTCGCCAACTCCACTTCTCACGGTGCCTCTCCTCGTTGCTGCCTCAAGCGCCATTACTACCGCCTCCGCACAGTGGGCAGATGTACAAGTTAGGGTCTGAAACACTTGCTTGGATTTACAAGTAATGATTGCAAACCATAACAATTACAGAAATGGGTTGCATTCGTAAAAATGTATTTGTTTTTCTTAATGCGTCTTTACTTTCTTTGGAAGTGACCTAGTGTCCCACTGTTATATGGTATTTTTATTGTTTCCGTACAACGAGATCATAACTACTGATTTTGATCTCAGTTTGGTCGACTCTGTAATGAATTAAAATGCCTCTGTCCACTATCCATACCGCTTTTCGTCCCGAAGGTGGGATATTGAAAGACATGATCCAACTGCCTGAATATTGAAATATCAGAAAATGTTAGTTTTAAAGTTTTTTAAGACTTCATCGAACTTATGTTTCTAAAATTTAAAATTTCTTCAAGCCAGACTTTCTGTACAAATTTCAGCGTAGTTCGGAGGGCACTCTCGTAGGTTCCTTTAAAATACGTGCAGTCTTACAACAGGCACTGATTAGGTGATTGACTATTTTGACTTGTCTCCACTGTCACTACTTCTCTGAGACTTTAGTAATATTGTTCGAAAGGTTTAGCCCCCTGGGTCGAGCGTTTGCCGCAGTCGAAGTCGTCTCCACCACCGGCAGCGCCGGGGAAGCCGCCAGAGAAAGCTCTTGCAATATCAGCTGAGTAGCGCAATTAATTTACGGCGCAGCGGAGAGCGCAGCGCGGCCGCGATCAGGCGAAGATCGCACGGAGCGCCCGCCGCCATTCAATGGAGATCCGCCGGGAGGCTGCGCGAGGGCGCCGGCGGCGGGCGCGCACTCGGGCGACAGCGCGGGGACGGGGAGGCGGGAGCGGGGGCTGGGGCATACGCGATTTTTCAAAGCAATTCCTATTTCTCAGATTATTGATTGCCGATAACTAATTCTGCGGTAATGTTTCAAGCCATTGGGCAAACGTCTATTTGCAAACTTTATAAACGTCGATTAAAATACAATTTCGATTATTACCAATTTGACGATAACTCTAAAATACAATGATGATCCTAAAACTTTTGTGATCATGAAACTGTCGCCGCAGAAAAGGTCTATATAATAGACAGAATGTGAGCCGGGTCCTTGACTAATATAGACACAATTGATGTCAAAGATGTCTGCGTAATTAGATCTGAAATGTTGACTGTAATAAATACCGCATGACGCGACCTTGGAATTATTATACTTAAAATGGTGTATTCGCGTAGGCTCTTTCAAGACGAGACAAGAGTCGGCGCGAATTGCCTGTCACCTGTGAAAATTCCAATCTGTGCAAGACGGAGAGGAATTCTGACAATGTTTAGGCATCTGATAATATCTCCGGCGCACCCGAAAAGCGGGCAGAGGTGCGCGTGCCGCTTAGTGCGCATCGTCCGCTTAAACGAGCGCCTGCCCTTGGCCCCCGTCCTGCATTCAGCTCTGCGCCCGACCCTTGCCCCCGCGCCGCCTACTGTCCCGCGCGCTATTCATCGCCAGCGCTTAAGCAAACCCAAGGCGGACTGCTACTTTATTCAAGGATTAATCTGAAAATGTTCATTAATCACAGAAGACCGCCGGTATTGTAACTTAACGGTAGCTACTTGACTATTTTTTTTTTCTTCCTGCGCTTCTAACCGCCGAATAAATTATGTGATTTCACAATACAAATTACCCTTCAATGATTCACATGTCGGCGTGTATCTCTCTCCGCTGGCGGTTCTATCCTCTCATCGCATAAACATATCAATCCAAGTTCTAATTTAATGCGCCCTCTTGGTGAACCTTGAGAGTGGCATTTGAAGCAGTAGTTTCTGTCTCGGTTAGGCGCATCTTGCGGGGATCTCTGGGCTCTCTTTATTTACGACTGTGAAGACGAACGCTGACTATGCTAATCGGTGCGTGGCGCCTAGCATGTTGGACCGACAAGCTGCAAAGCGACGATAATCTCGATTCTTTTTCTGGTTCACGGATCGTCGAATGAAATTCAGTTGCGGTGCTTCACGGAATACAATATCCTATTTAGTTGTCGTATGTTGGTTATATTAAAAAAATCTATCATAGGTTGTTACGTTAAAGGAACTGATAGTTGCTACGGAAGATTAAAGAAGAGAAAGACGTTCGAGAAGTAATGTGGTTATGACCAAAGAACACCGTAAATTTGTTCGGTGTCCGATAACCATCGTAAGGATTGTGTTACAGTGGAAGCTTCACGTTAGTACTAATGGGGAAATAAATTTATTACTCAAGTAATAGAACGAAAACGAGGCTATAGAATTGTACTTGTCCAATTGTTACAATTTAAATGGCTCAGCCTGGTAGCATTAAGCAGCGACATATTCTCCTGGACGTTATATAGATAATTTTTCTTTCTCTTTGACAATTGAAGTTTACAACGCTTTGATTATCCATTGTATTAAGATATAAAGTCACTGTCTGCACATTTTCTCCAATCCATTTATGTTTTTATTCATTTATTTCGGCTAGAGATGTGGAATTCATTACACATGCGTTTTAATGTAATTGCAATTTAATCAATACATTGATTTACAAATAATTTAGGCATTTTTTGGGCTCATGTATAGATTCGGCTACTGTCATTTTTGAGTTAAGAAAGAATGGTTGACTTATTTGCTTTCAATATTCTTAAAATTTATTTGATCTCATATCAGCATAACTTAGAATAACACATAAAATTATGTGAGAATATTAATTTTATCATTAAATTATATGAAGGAATGAAATTTATTTTTTCTACTCATTTATTTTACAGCTAAGACTATTAATTTAATTTCAATGGACATGTTATTTCTCTCAATTTCCCTAACATTTTACGAATTCTGCTTGATAGTTCCACTTTCTTTCTGTTATTAATATGACTCATTTCCACCAGCACAATAATAATAAATTATAATATGCGAATGCAAATGCATACGGACAAGAGCTAAGTTCGTGGAGATGATCTCTGATCCAACAATTGCAAATTCTTTCGCGCTCCTCCCTCACACTTTGAGAAACCATCGAGTAGTTAATTACAGCGCAAGTCGTTTCGTTGTGGCACTCCTCAAGTAAACATCAGGTCTGTGCAGGAGACTGTGCGTATTATCGCCGACCACTACGGATAACACCTCAGCCATTATTTCCATCCCCACCCCAAGCCCGTTCCCGATCTCTCTGCTTGCCCACCGGGTATCCCCCCTGCCCCGCCATAGATCTTGCCCTCACACCTCTGGTAATCCTCGCCACCACCCAAGTGGTCGTCGGCAGGAGTTGAAACCGGGACCTCGGCCATTCCTTTGCGGGCGCTCTGCCGCCATTATTAGTTCGGTATATCACCGCAGGTGAGGCGGTGCTCCTAGACGAGGGTTCTACAAGTGACCTCTTGTTCCTTGGAGATTGCAAAGCGCTCCAGGGCAGGTGCGGTCAGGAAGACGGGCCTTACCGACCTTTAGCTCTCTGGCTATAATCTTTTCGTATGTTAGGACAATAGTTAGAACATAACATGTGTATTTAAGTGTAAGAAAGGATCACATATTTGAATAATATTAAGAATCTCATCTCTCTTATGTGGGTGATGAATATTTTTTAAATGTCACCTTGATACCGTTTGCAGAAAGTTTTGTCATTGTGATCATGTTTACCGTCCATTGTCGGACTCCAACAATAATCTGACGATTCTAAAAGTTTTCATTATAGATGTTTAAGGATTTTTATTGCTTTTTTTTACATCAGTGCTTTGGGGGGCCGTCAAATATAAAACAAGAAACGGCCCTTCCAAAGCGATCTGTTCCAACAAGAGGCCGTTTGAAGCGGACGCCTCCGATTGCTGAGAGCGCAAAACGAGGGCGAGGCGTGGAGCGGGGAGGCGGCCTAGAGAACGATGACCTCACACACAAAGCGCGGCGCCCACGCCCGAGCCGGCGCCGTGCGGTCCGCGTCGCGCCGCGTCGCGCCGGGCGGAGACTTCAATGCGCCGATGGGGCAGAAGCCCTTGTTGGAGCGGGTCGAGTGGCTCCAAGGGCGGTTGCGGTCGCGGGTTGGCGGTGACACAAGGGGTTCGCCAGTACGGAGAAAATGTGCCGGAAGCAGCTTCGGTTATCTAGTCGTCTGTTGGGACTGGCGGCGCTGGAAGGAGGCCTTGGTCGACGGTTAGGCAACCACAAATATTTTTTCATAGTACAGAATGTTTCATATATACATTATTACTTTTATAGTAACATGTGCAACACGTCATTAACATTAACATTACTATAAACTTAAATGTACTAAGGAAGAAATGTCGAGAAGTAGCCGAAAACTGGAAAACACATCTTCAGAAGCGGAAAATGTATGGAGTTGAGTCGCTGCAACCGAAATAAAGAAGTTCATTTGAGATAGAAACAGTAGAAGGTAAATTAAAATCGCACTCTGAGGTGGTAGATTTTGATGACAGATTGATTGGTAATTTCAAAAAATTAATTTTAATTTTTAGAAAAGTGTACATACACTGTTAAATTCTGCAATAGAGTAGAAAACACAGGACGATGGGAAACAATTATAATTTCAGAAAAAATATAATTACTTAAAAGTTTAGCAATAGAATAAACCATTACAATTGCTTATAATGGCACCATCAAAGAAAAGTATTATTGAACTTCGTGGTTTGTGAAGATATTGCAATTATACAAAACACACCAATTTAAGTCATTCCAGATATTTGAAATGTAGTTAATATGTCCCAAACGTTTATTGCATTCCTATATAAAGTGAAGAGCAGTGTCAGTGTCAGTTTCCATTACAGAAATTGTCGGTTTTAAAGAGTAATGAGACATACGTTTGTTGTGCCGAATTATGTAGAAGTCATGGCTGAGCAACTAGGATACTAGACTTCTGTGCCAATTCCTATAATACTATCTTACATCTGTGATCATCAGCAAAGAATGTCTTTACACTTTAACTGAATATAAGGAAATTATTTGTATTCCAATAGACAAACCAGATGCAGACAATTAATACGTAGTGATTGAATAATTGAGATGGTTTGAATTTGCACAAGTGGTTGTAAGTCGTACTCTTAAGATGAGCAAGGGCTTTTATTATTGATGAGCAGCAGATTTTATTATTGATGAAAATCCTACTTTTGTAGCAGTAGCTGGAGCTTAAGAGGATATATTTAATAAATTTCAATTATCAGCGAGTATAACAACAAGAAATTAATGGAAGTCTTCAAACCGGACACGTATTTCATGGAATCAGTTATTATTGAAAATTTACCGTCATGAATCGTAATTACATTTGAATTTACGTTCTGTTCAGGTAATAGACTAAGAACACTTGAGTCTGAAGATTAATTCTTAGGAGAAAAACCTGCAGTCTTTTTTAAACAGTGTAACGATTTTTATGATAATTAAAGCTGCATGCAATCACTACAAGATTTTATTTGGAATTCTTGTCAAGCGACGATGTAATGATCCCTCCATAAAGTGTCCTGCTCACATCTGTGACCTGTTCCGGGATCCAATCTCATATTATCTAAAGGCCACGCTGCAAATGCAGAGAAAGAAAGAGAAAGGCGAGTAAGAATTGCGTACACTTGAGCGGTGTAATTTAATGAGGGCTGCAAATAAACTGGTATAACGAAGTACTTAATTCCACAATATTACCTTGATCTGTTGAAGGCAACTAGATAATCTGGATTAGTTTGCAAATCATTAACTTCTTACTCGCGCAAGTACCCGGTAATGAAATGTAGTAGACCCAAAAAGACGAACAAAAGATGAAGTTTTGATGAATTCTGAGCTGAAATAAGTGTTTGCTTTCATAGGCGATTAGCATTTCCTTATTCGTATTATTTTTAACGAAAAATGAATGTATTATATAATTTCGATGTTAAGTTATCTCTGATCTCAGTATTCATGAAGAGACTTCGGTAAATATTTTAATGAGACTTTTCTCTTAAAATACGAATGTATTTTACGATAGAAAATTACATATTATATTTTAGTCTTATTGACATTAATATAGTACATAAGTGAATATTCTTTTTCAGTAGTTTTCCAATAAATGTTTAATTAAAATAAACGTGGAAAAAATCGAATACAAAATAATACAAATACCGAAATATAAACATTGCATGTTATGCTTCCAAACCTTTTTTCCAAATAGATTATTTAATACATTTCTCATACCAATACTTTTTGAATTTGACGAAATTAAGATCAAAGCTAGCGCACAGTTTGAGGAAGTACCAAGTAGTTATTTTTAATTATACTTGACCTGTGAATGTTTTATACACCACTTATTTCATCTAATATATTATTCTGAAAATTTTTGATCGTATTCCTGTCGCGAAATGTTAATAATTTAGTAGATGCATGTCGACATCCCTTCCGGAACGTCCTAAGACCATGTGTATAGTGAGATGATAGCACATATTGATATTATTGAAAAGAAACCTAGAAATGTTTGAGCTCTTCCAATTCCGGGATTTATTCCATTCGTTACGGCGTCGCTCTTCTTCGCGGGGTGCGCGATTCACAAGGAATTCCAGCGGCGGCGGCGGCGAGTAAATCGCGGGGCAATCTGATGGCGCGGCGCAGCGCGTCGCCGGCCGCCAGGCGTCCTCTTTCCCACCAGAAGCGCCGCCGCCGCGCTCCTCTCGCCGCTTATAAGGGCGACAGGCGCGCATTAGAATACCGGGACCCGTGGAGTGCGGCGGGGCGGGGCGGGACGAAGCGGAGCGGGGTGAGGAGCGAGATGGGGAGGAAGGCGGGTGGAACGACGCTGCGAGAGAGGGGAAGGTAGGTGAGGCGGGGACGGGCAGGGAGGAAGGAGGAGGAATGGGGTGCAACGGGGCCGGTCGGATCGAAGCGTAACGGGGTGCAGAGCGAGAGATGAGGAGGAAGGGGTGCAGTGATGGGGCGGGGCTGGGTGAGGCAGG